CCAAGCTTACATTAGGACTGAAAAAAATAAAAATAAAAAAGGAAGAATGATTTAGTTTGGAGAAGTTTACAAAACAATTAAGTAAAGCAACCGAGAGATGAGATTTGGCAGCTCTCAAAATCAGTGAGGTGCTGTGTGTCGGGTGGCGGACAGAGATAGACTCACTCTGCGCTGTTTCAGCAGGCAGACCTGGGGCGGAGGTGGAAGGCTGAAGAGGACAAGTGAGAAAGGCTCAGCAATGGGAAGCCCGTCCCAGAGGGGTGACATCCTGGTCACGTGAAGTGGTCAAGCTGAATCTAAATAATCAATCATCATAAAGGGACCAAGAGCGAGAAGATTCCTGATGAGCCTGGCACAGCAGAAGAGGATCCGGGTTACAGCCTTGCTACAGCCACGCTTGTGACGCTGCAGGTCAGCAGCCAGGACAGGCACGCTGGGCAGTGTCCTAACCCCCCAGTCCACGTCTGAGCTAAGCAGGACGACAGCTGAGCATCACTGCTGCGGGGTGGCCCAGAACCAGTGCAGAACCAGCACAAAGGCACGGTCGTGGAGCCCTCCAACAGTGGGCTCAGAGCTGGCCCAGCCTGAAGAAGAGGGAAAAATGAGTTGTGCCAAGGATAAGCCAGATAAGAGGCTTTGGGAAAGGAGCAGCTGTCCAAGTTCTCTACACTCAAGGAAAAGGACAACAAAAACACTAACGCTGACGCTGTGCGGAGGGGCGACTTCCAGCATCCCACGCTCCCAGGCCCACAGACTACGAGCGCAGAATCGGCTCCTCGATGCAGTGTGGTGAGGTTTCTCCTAATTCCAGTGGGTTTGGGTTTTTTGGTTTTTTTTCCCAAGAAAGGCTGGCAAAAGCTCTAAGCTGATACAACTGCATGGGCTGCATCAACCTATACACGGCGACTTCTCCATTTTCTGCTTCTCATGACTGGTTTCGAAGTGAATGGAGCAGAAAGGTCTGAGGGCAAAGGGGAAGCCCAGGCTTGCTCAGGAGGGCCAAGTGAGGAGACCCTGGGGACCAGAGAACCACAGACTCTCATCGTCGCCGCTCACACTCTGCATAGATAACAAGGGGGAAAACAGTTTGCCTCTTAAGAAAGCTGAAAAGAACTGTACTCACCCCCTCCTTCCCTACCCCTCCAAAAATAACACACACCCCCACACGTACTCTCATGCAGTGCCATTAAGCCATGTATGTTCTATTAAAGAATGGGCAGCCTCTATTCCAGAATCCCGAGGGGAAAAAAAAAATTTATGAACCAACTCACTAAAACACATGTTCCAGGATTTCAAATTCAACAGTGAGCCTGGAATGAGTGGGAGTGCAGGCGAAGCTGGCCTCGGCCCTCCTCAGCTCTGCAGCTGCAATCTCTGCCTCCTGCCCCAAGTGGGCCTTCAGGAAAAGCTCAGTGGGGGAGGGGGAGGGGGCCCCTCGGACTCAGCCCCTCAGAGGACTGCAGGGAGAGGGCTCCAGGCACAGGACTTGCAAGACCAGCCCCGGCTCCCCAGGCCTCCCAGGCAATGTTTGTGGATAAGAAAGCTGCTCATTTTCCATCCTCCTACATCTTCTCCCACCCGCCTCCTCAAGAGGCAGGCTGCAAAGGAACCGCACCTAGGATCTGACAAAACAAAAAGGGAGAAGGCAACATAATGCTTTCCCCCGACTCAGCCAAGAACCTCAAGCCGCCTGCACACTAGCTTCTGCCCCCAGGTTTTAAACACCGACAGAAGGTGCGTCCAGGAGATGCATTATCATCTGGGAGTCCGCTGCACCGGGCTTTCAACTGTTCTTCATTTTATTTTTTAAATAAGCAAAAGGGAAAATACTGAAGTAACCCTTCATTGCGAGATACACACGTCCAAGCAGAGATGACGGAGTACAGAGCAGAAAAGAGTGCAGGCCCTGAAACAAAGAACCGAGAGGACACCGCGGTCACTTCCTAATGTCACGTCCCCGAGTTCCGCACACAGGCAACTCTCTTTTCCAGAACACAACCAAGGGGCACCAACAGACGCACCACCTAACGTGGAAAGCCCTACCCCCTAGATGCAGTCTACAAAAATAAGTCTTTGAAAATACGAATAACATTAAGATGTAGGTCCCACAATCCAGCCAACTATGGAGCAAAATGAAGCTGGGCTAGAGAGTCAGGGGTTTAGAAAGGTCTGTCTAGGGGCCAGAGGAGAGGAGGTGCCTAAAGGTAGGTGGAACCGGATCTTTTTCAGCTTCGAGCAGCATAAGGCTCAACTCAGAACCAGGTAAAGAAGAGGATTTCTCTAATGGGACTCACATGACAAGAGTCCCCAGAGCAGAGGGCTCTAGGGCAGGCTGATCCTGTGGCTCAGCGATGCTATCTCTGCAGCCTTGCACTTCCCCCACCCTCACACCCCCACGATCCTTCAGAAGTGAGGAAAATTTCCTCCAAAGGCTTAAAAAAACAAAACAAAAACCTATTCCTTTCAAAAATATTTTCACGAGCACTTGATCCTAAATCATTTGTTAACTAAACCAAAGGGAACAAATGACACTGTCATACTTACCTATGAAGAGGGGACTCACCTAGGCTAACTGAGGTCCCTCTGAGGGGCCTCCCATCCCCAATGTCACACAGCAGTCCTATATTTATCTGTTGTGCACCAGGCTCTCATACAGAAGGGAAAAAAAAGTGTTTGGTTGACTTTAAATGTTTTGATTTGTTTTTCCAAAGTAGTTTTTAGGGTAAGCTTCTGAAGTAATGCTTGAGCAAGTACAATTTAATACCATTCTAAAGAATCCCTATCCATTAAATCCACAGTCTAATCTAGTTTGATGCCCTGACTCAGACTGGGATTGTCTTAAACCAACCACCTTCCTGATTTCTGGTTGCACCACCCTGGAGAGGGGCTGGCTGGGCATTCCAAGGCCTTGCTGGCACTCTAGGAATTCATCTTCAGACTTTGTTTCCAGCAAGGGTTGACATCCTCTCCCTAAGCTTGGGTACGGCCACATCCTCATTAACACAGTCAAACAGTCCCATCATCGCATGGCTGACAGCCAGGGTCCCTCCCTAGACACCTTCACACCTCCCAGGGACCTAGCAGCTAAAGGGTAAACACCTGGCAGAGCAGGGCCTAGCTGGTGGCCCCCTGCACCCAGAATTCACAGCAAATATCTAGAACATTACCCACATCCACCGCCCCCCACCCCGGGGTATCAGCTCTCTTGGAGTCCACCCCTCCAACTCAGAGCTCCAATCCCTCCCAACTCCTATTAGCTCAATAACTTCCAAGTGTTTCCCTTTCCCAAGCCTCATCAACACTCCTGTTTGCAAGAAGACAACTTCCCATTCTTCAGGAGAGATAGCCTCCCGCAAGGTCTGCCACTGGTTGAAAGGACCTTAGCTGAAGGGGCTTTCCCCAGCTCACAGCACCCAGGACAAAGAGACTGCAGTATGGGGCGTGAAGGGTAGTTATATCTATTTCAATGGCCCTTACTGCAATCCCTAGGTCAAGAGTTTTTTTTTGTTGTTGTTGTTGTTTTTATGATCCTATGACATAATAAGCAAAAATAAAATAATGATAGTAACATCTCATCGCCAAAGGAAAACACTGAATATTTTGAAATGTATTCTTGCAGACAGCACAGATAAGTTTTTTCTGTAAAGAACTCAAAATCACATCTTTCTCTTTCAAATATTTTACATCATTATATACGTGGCCGTACTGTTGTACATTTAAGCTGTTTTTCATTTTGGGCCAATCTAAACAGATGGATAGCCCTCTATGTACAGCTTATAAGTTCATCCTATTTCTTCAAGAAACTCTGCACAGTGGACTTCCTTTAAAGCACACACTAACCCCTTTAATCTTCATACCACAATCTTATAAGGCAGGTAACGTAACCACTGAGCCACATACCCAGCCATTTTATTTTTTATTTTGAGACATGGGTCTTCCTAAATTGCAGGGGGTCTTGCTAAGTTGCCAGGCTGGCCTCAAACTTATGATCCTCCTGCCTCAGCCTCCCGAGTTGCTGGGATTACAGCTGTGTGCCACCACACATGACTACAGTAGGTATTATTAATACCCATAGCTTACAGCGGGGGAAACTACAGCACAGAGAGGTTTGACAACTTACTAAAAATCGCCAGCTAGTAGGTATGATGTCAGATTCAAGTCAAGGTGGTCTGGCTCCAAACACAACTTCTAGTTTTGGACTACAACCCTTTCCTGAGGTTGGAGAAAATATTCCTTACCAGGTAATCACTACCACATCTGCCTGTACCTTACCATCTTGTTTCAGAGGCCTGCGCACCAGCACTCTGGGTTTCTAAAAGAAAGAACCTTGACACTGGCTCATTTCTGAACTTCTGTTCCCTAACCCTCCTTAACAACTATCACCTCAGCTCAGCCTGCGGGTTGGCTCTGACCCACACTCACTACTCCTCAATCCGCCCACCTTGGTTTCCCACTTTCATTCTATGCCCCCGGCCCTGAGCCAAATTATACAAAGCCAGAAAAGATTTAAGTAAGAAGAGCTAAACTGGAAACTCAGCTCCATACACACCTTACTTTATGTGTGGCCAAAGTCCTGTGTCCCTTCTCTTAAAGTTATACACATTCCTAGAGAGCAGAGACTGTTTTTATAACCTACTAGTTTAACCAATATGCTTCAGGGGCTTTCTAGAAAATGCAAAATGCCAGTTTCTTATTACCATTATATTGCCTCCCCTCTCCCCAAGTAGTGGAGATCAAACCCCAGGGCCTCATATCATCTTCTAATCACTGCGTGTACCAGAATATTTGTCTTCTCCAGGTCCAATTTGGTAGATTTGAGACATTTTAAGGGCCAACCCGAGACACAAGACTGTCCTTTTAAAAAGGTTTTACATATATGATACAATAAGGATTTAGAATGTTTTCTGAAAAAGTCTAATTAAAACTTCATTAATTTAAAAAATGGAATGGTTAGACAAGGGATACATACATTCAATTTCTTCAACAAACTCCCTCTATTTTTAAATCTGGGATGCTTCATGAATGTGCATGCCACCCTTGCCCCGGCACCATCCTTATCTACTCAGAATTGTTCCAATTTTAGTGTTATATGCTGTCGAAAAGACCACTCCACGTTTTACTGAAGAAGAATTAAAGAGAAAACCATCTGAATAGTTACGGTGCCTTACCCAGAGTCTAACAAATGTTACAGAAGTTGCCATCAATATCATGGACATTTTAATCAGCACCCTAGTACTAGTTTTTGTTTTTAATTCTTGTTTTAAATAATATTCAGGTCAAAGTTTCTGTAACCCCACCTTGTATTTCCCTAGTTTTTATGAACTGGCAACACTGTGGTGTGTGTAATGAAGGGAAGTATTATCCCAGCCTGCTTTTCCTGTCCTCAGTACAGGGGAGAAAGAAATGGAAGCAAGTGGCCATGTTCAAACCACATCCCTGACATTATGCCTGCAAATGCCAGAAACAAAGTTTGGTGGCCAAATACGCAGGCTCAAGTCCCAGCTCTAAGGCTTCTCATCTGTGACAAGAACTGAAACCTTGAGAGAGAGGAGAACAGAGAGCAATTACTTATACCTGACTCTCAAACAGGACCGTAAAATGGAGACGAGTCTATTTTCTCTTGGGAGTTTCCATGAATTAAATAAGCTGACACTTATAAAAACGACCAGAATTGTGAGGTCCTCGATGAACATCAGTCCTCTAACCCAGAATCCAGGTTTCTTTATCCCCACTGTTTTCCAGATGAGATCTGCTTCATGAGGTCTTGAAAATGCACGGAGGACACAAGACCCGGATGGGCTTCAAACTAAAAAGTGTGATGTGTCAGCGGTGACATAGAAAAATCAGTGTGCTCAAAGCATACTTACTTTTGAATTTTTAACTTTTTCATTATACTTCATAATAAATTTTGGTAAAGTTACAACAGGATTATGTGCTTATTGTAATAAAAAAAAATTTCAAGACTCTGGAAAGAGGGGGCAGATTCTGACCATTTTTACCCAATATGGTGCTTTTATACAAATGTGGATTCCTCTGGGAAGACACTGGAAGGAGCAGCTGGGCCTGGCAACCCTGTGGGCAGTGGCATGAAGAAAGATGCTCAAGGCAGCCTACTCCTTCTGGTCTCCCACCAAAAGCCACAACAGACAGTTTTCTAGATCTTCGGCCTCCTCACACTCTCCTAAAAGCTAAATGTTTACGGTAACAAGAAGCAGGCTGAAGCCTCCTAACCAGACTTCCGTACTGTAGGAGAGAGAACACGTGCTCAGGGCTGCCACACATACTCAAAACTGACGCTCCTCTAAACTTTCTACGAGAAACACACCCCACCCATTCCTACGTACTGTTTCACACAGTGTCTGGAACACAGCAGGTGTCAATAAGTGGTAGACACGATACTGAAATTAAAATACTGCAAAAGCTGAGAGAAAACTAACCTACTATAAAATAGCCTGATATGGATGTGAGTGGGGTCCCCCAAAAGCTCCTGTTAATGGAGGAATATTCAGAGGTGAAATGATTACATCGTGAGAGCTGTGACCTAATCGGCCCCATCCGGGTTTGATGGTAACTGTAGGCAGGTGGGGCGTGGCTGGAGGAGGTGGGTTGTCCTGGAAGGGTGCATCTTCCCTGAGGCCACTTGCTCTACCCCTCACTGGCTCTCTGCTTCCTGACCGCCCCCCCAACCCCACCAGGAACTGAGCCGCCTTCCTCCACTGGGCCCTCCCCCCATGATATGTAGCCTCCTCTTGGGCCCAGAGCATCAGAGTAGACTATCTATGGGCTAAGACCTCTGAAACCATGAGCCCCAAATACTTTTCCTCCTCTCAGTTGTTCTTGCAGGGTATTTTGGTCACAGCCTCAAAAAAGTTGACTGAAACAAGCCTAAATAACTTTTTTGATACCATCAGTCTATTTGGGGAACCAAAAGAAAGCTTTAAAAAAACAATAAAGGCAGACATGGGTGCACATCTGTAATCCCAGCTACTCAGGAGGGAAGATCACCAGCTTGAGGTCAGCCTTGGCAACATAGTAGGGCCCTGTCTCAAAGTAAAAAATTAAAAGGGCTGGGGACAGAGTTCAGTAGTAGAGCACCACTGGGTGCCCAGTACTGCAAAAACACTAAGGGAGTGTAGCTCAGTGGTGTAACACATGTTTAGCCTACAAAAGGCCCTGGGTATAATCCTCAGCACCAAAAAATAAATAAATAAGAAAAAATAAATGAGCTGGGCATAGTGGCACACACCTATAATCCCAGCTTCTCAGGAGGCTGAGGCAGGAGGACCACAAGTCCAAAGCCAGTTCAGCAGCTTAGCAAGGCCCTAAGTACTCAGCAAGACTCTGTGTGGAGATATGGCTCAGTGGTCAAGCACCCCTGGGTTCAACCCCTGGTACCAATAAATAAATAAAACTGTATTTTATAGGGGCTGGGGCTATGGCTCAGCGGTAGAGTGCTTGCCCAGCACAGGCGAGGCCCTGGGTTCGATCCTCAGCACCACATAAAAATAAATAAGTAAAATAAAGGTATTGTGTCCAACTACAAATTAAAAAAATAAATAAATTTTAAAAAATTTTTGAAAACCTGTATTTTACAAAAATACCTCTAAAAAAGAAATCTAGAGATCCAGAGACTAATTATATAGAGAGGGTTTTTACTACATAATAATGTTAGATAATAAATGCACAAACTAGTACAAATTAAAATAAAATGACTATGACAAATTCTTAAAAGTATGGATACATAGTCTTAACGTAAATGAAAATTATTTTTACTGACCGCATGAATGATTGCAGAGACAAAAAAAACTGATATGAATCACTGTGAAAACATTAATACAAAAGACCAGTGACTTAAATTTCATATGAATAACAAGTGTGATTACCACCGACCTGATCAAAATCCCTAAAGGACATGTGTGGGCAAGAAAAATCCCGGAGATCCAAACCCTCTAGACATGGTTTTCTTCCTCATTTCTCACTTTCTAGTTTCCTATTCCACGAGCTTCCCACCTGCTCCCCCTTCTCTTCTTTTAGTCAATATTACAGATGTTTAGGTCTCCTAGAACATCTCATTTTTTCTCTGCAGTTTCCCCTTTTATCTCCAGTTCAAAAGTGGAAATAAAAAGAAAATGTAAACAATGTGTTTTTAAGTGACACAGAGACCCTTAAACTCAGCAAGAAGCCGGGCTATCTGATACTTGTGCATCCACAAACCCAATTCTACATGCCACAAATGTATTTCTTAACTTGGCAAGGACAATATACAGAACACATCTCTGAATTAAGTTTTGTTTTTGCTGTGCTTTTGCTTGAGATTTAGGCTCATTTTTAAGTCTAGAATTTTGGCTTTTGATAAAGAGCAACACAACTTTAATGGGCCCTTAGCGTACTCAGGATACCTTTAAGATTGCCCAAGTAAGCAATTAGGATAGTCCTCCTTCTTTAACTATGGCCCAAACTCGGTGAATTAATGAAACCCCTTCCCACCTACCTAAACATACTTTCAAATTAAAATGAAGCCTAATTTTCCAACCCAGGTTAAATAGATTAAAAGATTAAGAAATAGAGAGCAAGTGCTTTCTCCATCTCACTCTCACATTTCAACCTCAAATTACCCCAGCCCTCTAATGACTAGAGTAGTCACTGTGAAGGCAGCTAATTACCCACGAATTACACCAACCGTAACCAATTTCAGGATCACAGATCAGATTTTCCCCAAACACGAATCTGCTAATTAAGTGACATGAAAGTCCAACTAACAGGCAATTTGGAAGTGACATTTATCCACCTGAAAGTAGACTTACAGAATAAGTATTTAAATTCACAACAGCAGCTATCCCCCACGGACAGCACGATTACACACTTGGATAATTGTAGTTAAAATGCATGGAAGCAGAGACTCATCTCCTTGATTCAAGCATTTCCAAGAAACAACAGGATTCTCCACCAGGGAATGGTCCACATGGATCTGCCCAGGCCTGAGAAGCCACCCGCAAGTACTCACTGGCTAAGTTAAATTAGTAATCCAACAAGTTTAAGACACTTACAGACACCAAAGCACACACAGCCTGACATCCATTTCTGTGCTCTGATCAAAGGAGTGTGGTTTGATTTCAGAGCTTGGCCCAATTTGTTCATTAAGCTTCCCACTTATTTCTCACCAGGAAAAAAAAAAAAAATCACAAAAGAAAAAATATTTGTCCTTAGCACTCACAAGTCTGTGCAAACAAAGAATTTTCCCGAGTATGCTCCTACAGATACCCAAAGGAAAAAAAAAAAAAATAGAAACAAAATCCATTCAACCAAAAGACCAGGTTCAATGAGCTGGAAAGAAAACGTGTGGACTGGCTGTGCAGCTGAGCCGGCCGCACAAAGCCCAGCTGACCGGCTGGCAGGGCTCTAAGAAATGAAGCTCCCCAGCAGGTCATTCCAGAGCGCCTGCCCAGTACCAAGAAGTTATTTCCTAGAAGCTCCAGAGTTAGGAAAAGGGAAGGGGAAAAGGTGAGGGGACACCCAGGAGGACTCACAAACGAGTCTCTCTGGTTACAGCCTGAAGTGTGAGATCCCCCACAGTCATATATACAAAATGACACGCTTAAGTCCTCACCCCTCGTACCCTACTGGAAAAGGTGGTCACAGATGCCATGGCTTAAGATGAGGTCATACTAAGGGAGGAGGGGCCCTGACCCAATATGCCCGGTGTCCTTATTAGAAGGTGGCCATGTGAAAACAGACACAGGGAGAAGAACGCCATGTGACATGTGGTCACAAAAGCAGAGACCCTAGACAGACACCTGCAAGCCAAGAAACCCTGAAGGCTGAACAGGCTTGCAGAAGCTTGGACGAAGCAAGGAAGAATTCTCCACTGGTTTCAGAGGAGCGCGGCCCTGTGGACACCTTGATTTAGGGCTCTGGCCTCCAGACGGAGAGAGAGTCAGTGTCTGCTGCTCTGAGCGCCCGGTTTGTGGCACTGTGTCACAGCAGCCCTAGGAAACTGCACGGCACACTTGAACTCGGGTTTTCTTCCCCTTGCTACGCCGTCCAGCCCCCTCAGTTGGCAAAAGTTCCCACTCCACCACAACAGAGCCAAAGGGAATCCCCAGCCTGT